ATAAAATACTAGTTACAGAGGGGGCCACTAGGACACCTAGCATGGCTAGGCATTTCGGGCAGACTTAGATTAATTCTTAACTCTAAAATATTACAAATTATGGAGTAAGTTGACTAAGTACTAAGTGACTAAATTCTAGTTTGTGAGTTTAGCAATGTGAATGCTTTTGTTTTCGCACAATACATAGTTTCTATATTGGAGTATCACAGGCAAACTTATGACTAGTTAGGATTCATTATTTTAAGATTAAGATTCGTATTTCTGTGTTTATAGTCAAATGGGTGAGTGAGTGAGTGTAAGTGTGAACCACCAGGTGGTTTTCATATAGCTAGTTGACGGAGTGTATCAGGGAGATAAGATGTTTTCTAACAGTAGTTTTGAAGGTGATGAATGTGTCTGCAGTTCTAGAGTTTTCAGGTAGGGTGTTGCAGATTTTAGTGCCTTTGACATACGTTGAATTTTTGTAAAGGTTTAGTCGGACACGGGGAATGTTATAGAGATGTTTGTGTCTGGTGTTATGCCTGTGGGTCCTGTCACAACTATCAAGAAAGCATTTTATGTCAAGGGTAATATTGGAATTTAAGGTCCTGTAGATGTAGATTGCACAGTAGTAAGTGTGGATGTTCTGAACAGGGAGTAAGTTTAGATCTATGAAGAGTGGGGGGTGTGTTGCCAGGGATGGGATTTAGTGATTATTTTTACTGTGGCTTTTTGTTGGGTTATTATTGGCTTTAGGTGTGTTGCTGCAGTTGATCCCTAAGCACAAATAGCATAGGTGAGGTATGGATAAATGAGTGAATGGTATAGTGTGAGTAGGGCATTTTGCAGCATGTAGTATCGTATCTTGGAGAGGATCCCAAACGTTTTGGATACTTTTTTTGTTATGTGTTGGATATGGGTGCTGAAATTCAGGTTGTTGTCGAGGTATAGGCCTAGGAATTTGCCCTCATTATGTCTGGCAATTAGAGTGTTGTCGATCTTAATGTTAAGTTGCTCAACACCTGCTCTGCTACCAAACATAATATAGTAGGTTTTGTCAGTGTTAAGTGTAAGTTTATTGGCTGTCATCCAAGTTAATATTTTGAGCAGCTCCGTGTTAACAATGGTGTTGAGGGTGGCAAGATTAGGGTGAGAGATGACATAAGTCATGTCGTCAGCAAAGAGAATGGGTTTCAGGTGTTGGGATACGTTTGGAAGATCATTGATGTAAATGAGGAAGAGCAGGGGCCCAAGGACACTTCCCTGCAGAACTCCAGTATCAAGTGGCCATGTTGATGATGCTGTGTCTTTAATGGTGACATGCTGATACCTATTAATAAGGTAGGATTTAAAATATGCAAGTGCATGGCCTCTTATACCATAATGGTCAAGTTTGTCGGGTAGCATGCCATGGTCTACTGTATCAAAAGCTTTTCTTAGGTCAATAAAAATTCCTAGCGGATATCAGGGAGCCAGTGGTGCATTGTGGGAATGCCATTTCAGTAGTCCTTGTTCAGCATGCCTAGTGGTAAAAAATATGTGACTCTCCGGCAGATCTGGGACTCTACACTTCCCAAATGATGCTCTAACACAGATGGAAGTGTCAGTGAAGATCAATTTCATGGTTTTGAAGAGTTTGTGACCAAAAGCAATGCCCAGGATACCAGAAGAATGAAGGAGAATGAGAGAGAATAAGGGAGAGACTGAGAGAGAGAATGAGGGAGAGACTGAGAGAGAGAATGAGAGGGAGAATGAGAGAGAGAATGAGAGAGAGAATGAGGCAGAAAATGAGAGAGAGAATAAGAGAGAGAATGAGGGAGAAAGATAATTAGGTAGTAGGATGGAGGGGAAGCGAGCGTCCGACCCCATTGTTTTGACAGGCGGTAGGGGAAGTGAGTAATTTACCTAGGATAACTACCTAGTTGAGGAAGCCTAGGGAACACATGGATTTGACAGTTAAAAATAGGAGAGGAGAGTTATTTAATGGAGAGATAGAGGTATCAGCAAGATGAAGGGAATATTTTCAGGAATTGTTAAATGTTGATGAAGATAGGGAAGCTGTGATTTTGTGTATAGGGCAAGGAGGAATAACATCTTGTAGGAGTGAGGATGAGCCAGTTGTGAGTGTGGGGGAAGTTCATGAGGCAGTGGGTAGAATGACAGGGGGTAAGGCAGCTGGGATTGATGGGATAAAGATTGAAATGTTAAAAGCAGGTGGGAATATAGTTTTGGAGTAGTTGGTGCTATTATTTAATAAATGTATGGAAGAGGGTAAAGTACCTAGGGACTGGCAGAGAGCATGCATAATTCCTTTGTATAAAGGAAAAGGGGATAAAAAAGAGTGCAAAAACTATAGGGGAATAAGTCTGTTGAGTATACCTGGTGAAGTGTATGGTAGAGTTATTATTGAAAGAATTAAGAGTAAGATGGAGAGTAGGATAGCAGATGAACCAGGAGGCTTTAGGAATGGTAGGGGGTGTGTAGATCAAGTGTTTACAGTGAAACATATAAGTGAACAGTATTTAGATAAGTGTAAAGAGGTTTTTGTGGCATTTATGGATTTAGAAAAGGCATATGACAGAGTAGATAGGGGGGCAATGTGGCAGATGTTGCAGGTGTATGGTATAGGAGGTAGGTTACTGAAAGCAGTGAAGAGTTTTTACAGGGATAGTGAGGCTTAGGTTAGAGTATGTAGGAGAGAGGGAGATTATTTCCCAGTAAAAGTAGGCCTTAGACAAGGATGTGTGATGTCACCGTGGTTGTTCAATATATTTATAGATGGGGTTGTAAGAGAAGTTAACTACGAGGGTCTTGGCAAGAGGTGTGGAGTTAAAAGATAAAGAATCAAACACAAAGTGGGAGTTGTCGCAGTTGCTCTTTGCTGATGACACTGTGCTTTTAGGAGATTCTGAAGAGAAGTTGCAGAGGTTGGTGGATGAATTTGGTAGGGTATGTAAGAGAAGAAAATTAAAAGTGAATATATGAAAGAGTAAGGTTATGAGGATAACAAAAAGATTGGGTGGTGAAAGATTGGATATCAAATTGGAGGGAGAGAGTATGGAGGAGGTGAATGTATTCAGATATTTAGGAGATGGGTCTATGAAGGAGGAGGTGAATCATAGAATTGATGAAGGGAAAAGGGTAAGTGGTGCACTTAGGAGTCTGTGGAGACAGAGAACTTTGTCTATTGAAGCAGAGGGGAATGTATGAGAGTATAGTTGTACCAACACTCTTGTATGGGTGTGAAGCATGGTGATGAATGTTGCAACGAGGAGAAGGCTGGAGGCAGTGGAGATGTCATGTCTGAGGACAATGTGTGGTGTGAATATAATGCATAGAATTTGTAATTTGGAAATTAGGAGAAGGTGTGGGATTACCAAAATTATTGTCCAGATGGCTGAGGAGGGGTTGTTGAGGTGATTCAGACATGTAGAGAGAATGGAACAAAACAGAATGACTTTGAGAGTGTATAAATCTGTAGTGGAGGGAAGGTGGGGTAGGGGTTGGCCTAGAAAGGATTGGAGGGAGGGGGTAAAGGAGGTTTTATTTGCGAGGGGTTTGGACTTCCAGCAATCTTGCGTGAGCTTATTTGATAGGAGTGAATGGAGACGAATGGTTTTTAATACTTGACGTGCTGTTGGAGTGTGAGCAGTGTAACATTTATGAAGGGATTCAGGGAAACCGGCAGGCCGGTCCTAGAGATGGAAAGTACAGTGTCTCCATTCTGAAGGAGGGGTGTTAATGTTGCAGTTTAAAAACTGTAGTGTAAAGCACCCCTCTGGCAAGACAGTGATGGAGTGAATGATGAAAGTTTTTCTTTTTCAGGCCACCCTGCCTTGGTGGGAATCGGCTGATGTGTTAATAAAAAAAAAATAACTACCTGACACAACTGCCTGCTAATACTTTGAAAAAAACTGCTCAGATGAGGTGTTTTGTCTGTGCACATAAAAAAAAGAATAGGCCACAAAAATGCAGACACACTCGTTTTATGTGTGAGGAGTGTAAAACACCATTGTGTATGAAATCATGTTTCAAAGAGTTCCACAAGCTACAGAACTTCTAGGAACATGTCCTGTGACTGTACATTTATATATACATATAATACAATAGTAATAAAAAAATTTTGTATTTGTGCAAACAAGTTTTGTAAACAATATAGTGATAATTATGTTTGTGCGCATATTTTGTTGTATACAACGAGTGTATATATGTACATTGCACCTTACTTTGGACTCACAGGCCACATAAGTTACCTGAAAAAATAAATAGTGGAAAAACAAGAAACCTTGGAATGCAAGTTTACCGGGTGAGTGGCATTCGCCACTGTTGCCATACACTGCTCATTTTCTGCCAACTTTATGCCTCTATATCTCGGTAAGTACTGATTGCAAAAAAAACTTTTTTGGGCTTAAAACAATCAGAAAATTAATCTTAACATTTTCATAAGAATTTTTTTTTTTTTTTTAAATTCTTCGACGCCAGGAGACACTTCAGGATTTGGGATTGCGACAATCAAAGGGTTAAATATCAGGGTCGGGAATGTTTCTACTAATATCACAGATTTTATTAGATTGAGCCTTGTGATGTTGTGGAGAAATCATTGGCAGAAAGAACCTTTTCTTATGTAGCTCCCAGACTGTATAACAGGAGTTACCAGTGTCTGTTAAAGAGTCAAGAATATCTTCATGCTTTTAAGTCACAGTTGAAAACACACATCTTTTCTAGAGTTTATCATCCTGACGATCATACTGTCACTACTGGATATAAACTTTAGTATTTTTTTTTATCCTTGTTGTTGTATTTATGTTTAGATGTATGAGTATTTGTGAATTTTTCAGAAGACAAGGCTCTCAAAAATTGTAAAATCCTAAATTATTATTATTGTTGATTATGCAGACTACTATAACTCATGTAATGTTTCATGTATCATTGTAGGTTTTAATCATAGTTGTTAATTATGTTTCATGTATCATTGTAGGTCTTAATCATAGTTGTTAATAATGACTGATGTATCATTGTAGGGCCTGGGTATAGGAGTTGTCAACAAGATATTCTTACAATTTGCACATCGCTGGTGGGATGACAACTGTGATGGCTTCAGCTTCTTATACAACCTTCAACAAGTACCTGTTACCATAACTAAGGAGGTGAATATGTTGCAGGCTTATACAAAATCTTAATTTAATCTTTTCTTCAGATTTTGTATATCTTATTTTTAAGTTGTTCTTTAACCTCTTTGTTTTAACATTTCATGTTTTGATCATGTTGACTTGAGACTGTTATACAAAAATACAGAAAGATTCAGGGAAACTGGTTAGCCAGACTTGAGTCCTGGAAGTGGGAGGTACAGTGCCTGCACTCTGAAGTAGGGGTAGGGATGGTTGCAGTTTTGAATTGTAGGAATCTATTATTAGGGTCATCTGACCTCAGTGGGAGAGGGCCAGTTTGTTGAAAAATAGTCATACTGAAGTGATGAATCCGCAGAGGTCATTCTGAGCAAGAAGTGTTGGAGGCTTCATCCACCGTGTGCCCGAGTGAGACACAGACATGCTGCTTAATGATACTTGTGTATTCAGTAGTAAAGTGTAACAATGTATTGCCATAACGTAAAAGAGAGACTGGTGTAAAATGACAGTAAGGCACTGTTAATTTAATTGCTCTTAGAAATCAATTTCATAACAGGCAGTATTTGCAGGCTGGTAGACAGCAACCACCCAGGGAGGTACTACCATCCTGCCAAGTGAGTGTGAAATGAAAGCCTGTAATTGTTTTACATGATGGTAGGATTGCTGGTGTCTTTTTTCTGTCTCATAAACATGTAAGACTTCAGGTATATCTTGCTACTTCTACTTACACTTAGGTCACACTACACATTTATGTACACATTTATGTAGACACACTCATCTGAGTTTTCTTTGATTTTATCTTAATAGTTCTTGTTCTTATTGTTTTTCCTCTTATATCCATGGGGAAGTGGAATAAGAATCTTTCCTCTGTAAGCCATGCATGTTGTAAAAATCAACTTAAATGCCGGGAACAATGGGCTAGTAACCCCTTTTCCCGTATAGCCTACTAAAACAAAAAGAAGAAAACCGTCAAAGTGGGATGTTTGAATGTGCATTGATGTTGTGCAAATGATAAGAAAGAGACAATTGTGGATGTTATGAATGAGAAGAAGCTGGATGTCCTGGCTTTAAGTGAAACAAAGCTGAAGGGGGTGGGAGAGTTTCAGTGGGGAGAAATAAATGGGATTAGGTCAGGGGTTTCAAATAGAGTTAGAGCTAAAGAAAGAGTAGCAATAATGTTGAAGGATAAGTTATGGCAGGAAAAGAGGGAATATAAATGTATTCAAGGATTATGTAGAGTAAAATAAGGGTTGGATGTGAAAAGTGGGTAATAGTAAGCATTTATGCACCTGGAGAAGAGAGAAGTGTAGAGGACAGAGAGAGAGAGAGATTTTGGGAAATATTGAGTGAGTGCATGGGGAATTTTGAACCTAGTGAGAGAGCACTTGTGGTTGGGGATCTCACTGCTAAAGTGGGTAAAAATGTTGTGGGGGGGGACTAGTTGGTAAATTTAGGGTGCCAGGGGTAAATGAAAATGGGGAGCCTTTAATTGAGCTATGTGTAGAAAGAGGTTTGGTAATAAGTAATACATATTTTATGAAAAAGAGGATAATAAGTACACAGTGGACCCCCGCATAACGATATTAATCCGTTAATGAGAGCTCATTGTTATGCGAAATTATCGTTATGCGAATGAATTTTCCCCATAAGAAATAATGGAAATCAAATTAATCCGTGCAAGACACCCAAAAGTATGAAAAAAAATTTTTACTACATGAAATATACATTTTCCTACACAAAAAGATAAGGATACATGCACAATAGTAGAGTAGTACATGCACAATATATATTGTGCATGTACTACTCTACTAAATGAAGAATAAATGACACCTTTATTGAAGATGCAGCAATGACTGATGAGACACTGTGTCCTGGGAGTGCCTTTTCCTCCTGAGTACTGTAGGTCCTGTTTGGCATTTTCTTCCAGAACAGGCCTTATCACACTGTGTATGCCACTACGATTCTTAAATCTCTCAAACCAACCTTTGCTGGCTTTAAATTCACCAATATGAGCACTAGTTCCAGGCATTTTTCCCTGTTCACCTGGGTGTTAGTCGACTGGTGTGGGTTGCATCCTGGGAGACAAGATTAAGGACCCCAATGGAAATAAGTTAGACAGTCTTCGATGACACTGACTTTTTTGGGTTATCTTGGGTGGCTAACCCTCTGGGGTTAATTGTTTCTTGGTATTTTCAATAAGCCACACCAACAATGGTGCTACAGCAGCAGCAGCAGCAGCTGACAGTGCTACAGCAGCAGCAGATGGTGCTACAGCAGCAGCAGACAGTACAACAGCAGCAGCAGCAGCTGATGGTGGTACAGCAGCAGCAGCTGATGGTGCTACAGCAGCAGCAGCAGCAGCAGCAGCAGCTGACAGTGCAGCAGCAGCAGCAGCTGACAGTGCTTCAGCGGCAGCTGACGGTGGTACAGCAGCAGCTGACGGTGCTACAGCAGCAGCAGCAGCTGACAGTGCTACAGCAGCAGAAGCTGACAGTGCAGCAGCAGCAGCAGCTGACAGTGCTACAGCAGCAGCAGCATCAGCAGTTGACCATGGTACCACAGTATTTCGATAATATTTCTCACCCTTTTTACCACAGGGTTGGCACTAGAAGCTTTCTTGGGGCCCATGGTCACTTATTTTGCAGATAAAATCACCAAAAACTGTAATAATACGAAATGTTCTGAATGTATGCTTGGATGTTACCGCGGAGGCTGGCTTGTAAACAATGCCACCAGCGGAACATGTGAGGCTGGCTCAGGCCGCACATTAGACGCGTCTCAGACGAATAGCGTTGAGCGGGTTTTTTAGCGGTATGCGAGGCAAAATCTTAGGGATAAAATGTATCAGTATGCGGATTTAACGTTATATGATGCCAACGGTATGCGGGGGTCCACTGTACAAGGTATGATATAGCACATAATGAAAGTAGTTTGTTAGATTATGTATTGGTGGATAAAAGGTTGATGGGTAGGCTTCAGGATGTACATGTTTATAGAGGGGCAACTGATATATTGGATCATTATTTAGTTGTAGCTACAGTTAGAGTAAGAGGTAGATGGGACAAAAGGAAAATGGCAACAGCAAGTAAGAGAGAGGTGAAAATGTGTAAACTAGGGGAGGAGGAAGTTAGGGTGAGATATAAGCAACTGTTGACAGAAAGGTGGGCTAGTGCAAGCATGAGTAGTGGGGGGGAGGGTTGAAGAGGGTTGGAATAGTTTTAAAAATGCAGTATTAGAATGTGGGGCAGAAGTTTGTGGCTCTAGGAGCGTGGGTACAGAAGGAAAGAGGAGTGATTGGTGGAATGATGAAGTAAAAGGTGTGATACAAGATAAAAAGGTAGCTTATGAGAGGTTTTTACAAAGCAGAAGTGTCATAAGAAGAGCAGAGTATATAGAGAGTAAAAGAAAAGTAAAGAGAGTGGTGAGAGAGTGCAAAAGGAGAGCAGATGATAGAGTGGGAGAGGCACTGTCAAGAAATTTTGATGAAAATAAGAAAAATTTTTGGAGTGAGATAAACAAGTTAAGAAAGCCTAGGAAACGAATGGATTTGTCAGTTAAAAACAGAGTAGGGGAGTTAGATGGGAAGCTGGAGGCATTGGGTAGATGGCGGGAATATTTTGAGGAATGTTTAATTTTCGATGAAGAAAGGTGCGTGAGGCATTATGTTGAATAAAAGGCGGGTAAAGCAGCTGTAACTGACGGGATCATGACAGAAATGTTAAAAGCAAGGGGGGATATTGTGTTGGAGTGGTTGGTATTTTGTTTAACCCTTTGACTGTTTTGGTCGTATATATACGTCTTACGAGGTACCGTGTTTGACGTATATATACAGTGGACCCCCGCATAACGATATTAATCCGTTAATGAGAGCTCATTGTTATGCGAAATTATCGTTATGCGAATGAATTTTCCCCATAAGAAATAATGGAAATCAAATTAATCTGTGCAAGACACCCAAAAGTATGAAAAAAAAATTTTACCACATGAAATATACATTTTCCTACACACAAAGAGAAGGATACATGCACAATAGTAGAGTAGTACATGCACAATATATATTGTGCATGTACTACTCTACTAAATGAAGAATGTATGACACTTACCTTTATTGAAGATGCAGCAATGACTGATGAGACACTGTGTCCTGGGAGTGCCTTTTCCTCCTGAGTACTGTAGGTCCTGTTTGGCATTTTCTTCCAGAACAGGCCTTATCACACTGTGTATGCCACTATGATTCTTAAATCTCTCAAACCAACCTTTGCTGGCTTTAAATTCACCAATATGAGCACTAGTTCCAGGCATTTTTCCCTGTTCACCTGGGTGTTAATCGACTGGTGTGGGTTGCATCCTGGGAGACAAGATTGAGGACCCCAATGGAAATAAGTTAGACAGTCTTCGATGACACTGACTTTTTTGGGTTATCCTGGGTGGCTAACCCTCTGGGGTTAATTGTTTCTTGGTATTCTCAATAAGCCACACCAACAACGGTGCTACAGCAGCAGCAGCAGCAGCTGACAGTGCTACAGCAGCAGCAGCTGACAGTGCTACAGCAGCAGCAGCTGCAGCTGACAGTGCTACAGCAGCAGCTGACAGTGCTACAGCAGCAGCAGATGATGCTACAGCAGCAGCAGATGGTACTACAGCAGCAGCAGCAGCAGCTGACGGTGGTACAGCAGCAGCAGCAGCAGCTGACGGTGCTACAGCAGCAGCAGCAGCAGCTGACAGTGCTACAGCAGCAGCAGCAGCAGCTGACAGTGCTATAGCAGCAGCTGACAGTGCTACAACAGCAGCAGACGGTGCTACAGCAGCAGCAGACGGTTTCTACAGCAGCAGCAGCAGCTGATGGTGCTACAGCAGCAGCAGCAGCAGTTGACAGTGCTACAGCAGCAGCAGTTGACCATGGTACCACAGTATTTTGATAATATTTCTCACCATTTTTACCACAGGGTTGGCACTAGAAGCTTTCTTGGGGCCCATGGTCACTTATTTTGCAGATAAAATCACCAAAAATGCTGTAATAA